ACTTGCCTGCATCCCCTGCCCCACAGCAGGCCTGGCCCAGCGGGACCCAGCAGATCCTGCTCCCCCCCACGTGGCAGCAGCTCACAGGCGTGGCGGCCCACACGTCTGTGCCGCATGCGGCCGTCATACCCGAGACCATGGCAGGCACCCAGCAGCTGGCCGACTGGAGGTAAGCAGCACCAGGGAGGGGGGCGGGGACAACCTGTGGGCTGCTGAAACCCCCAGAGCACCTGAGCTTGCCCGGACCTAGCTACCTACCTTACCCGACCAAACTCACGGCCCTTGAGTTTAGAACCGGCCCCTGTGAGCTTCCGAGACTGTAACTCTTAAAACTGGGGACTCATAGTCACCCCCGGTGGGGTTTGAAGACTGACCAGCGGAGAGCCCAGTCTCTACCGAGGAGCTGCCAGTGGTTCCAGGTTTACGACCATGAGGATCGCAGCCCAGTGCCTAACCACCAGGACTCTGGGGACCCTGGGGGGTGGGGGAGCGGCGTTGTAAAACTCCCCCTGTGAGTACCTGGGACTGTCACTCTTTATGGGAGTAGGAAGCCCTGTCTTTCTCCCTGTGGCTATAAAGAACTATCTAGATTTTTTTTTTTTTAAGTATGTGGATACACACACACACAAGAGCGCTTCAAAAAGGTCATGGACAAGTGGGATCCAGAGACCGGGCACTTTCCCACGCGCTCTGCGAAGCCCCATCACCTGCGCACAGTTGCCGGGAGACTGGAATCGGAGTGCCGACCGTTGGCGAGCTAGTCACACAGGACAACAGCTGAAGTTTAAACAGCCAATGTGTTTGCTACTTCTCAGTGTAGCACTGCTTGTTTCCAACATTTCGGACTAATTTTAAAAAGGAAAAGGCAAAAGTGAGCTGTGGAAGTGGGGGTGGGTGGGAGCACTAAGCTGTCAGTCCACAGGCCAGGACTCCCAGAGCTCGCTCACTGCTGAGGTCAGCCCCACTCCACCAAAGTTCCAAGCCTCCGGGTCAATGCCGGGCGAGCCGCCACGTCCTTGGAGTTAGGGTCCCCCTCGACGGTGTTTACCAGTTGATCGCGGTCTCAGAAACCTTACTCTGGATGGCCCAGGGTGTGTGGTTTTCTCCGAAAACCAAGAATTATCCCCAGGGGAGGAAAGCAGAGAAGAGTTCCCAGGGGCCTCAGCCCCTGGGAAATAAAACGCTCACTGCGGGGTGCTTGTTGAGATTTGGGGCCACGCTTCCCCCCCATCCCCCAACCTACCACCCAGCTGGCTGACCATCATGCCTGTGGCTGCCAGACCCCACCCACCGGCCCTCGCCCTCCACCCACAGGCTTCCCTCCTGCACCCAAAGGTCTGACTCCACCCTCCACTCACCTGCCCCTGCTCAGACAGGTACTCTCATCTTTGGGTCCCCTCTGCTTTGCCGGGAATGCTCCCACCCTCGGACACACCACACACACACACACCACACACACACACACACACACACACACACACACGCCGCTGTGCAGAGCCACATGTATGGCACCCCCATTGTCCCAACCCCCCATGGCCCTGCCAGCTGTTTCACACTCCATTCAACCAGGCAGGTCAGCCCACGCCACCCTCAGTCCCCTGCTACCCGCAGCGCTGAGCTGGGCCCACAGTCCGTGAACAGAGCCCCCGGGTGCAGGAGAGCATGGCTCCGTCCCCCTGCTTCCCCGGCCTCATCCTGAGCAGTGAAAGGAAAGGGCCTGTCCTCAGCCAGCATGCTGGAGACCTGGGTCTGATGCCCAGCCAGGCAGCCTCCCTCTCAGCCACCACGCCTCCACAGAGACGTGCGTGAGGCTGCGATCACAACAGGCTTCAGGGAGACTGAAATAGAGT